CTGATAATGAAAGAGATTTAATTTTAACAGCACAGCAGACCGTGCAGATACATAAATAATTGACTCATAATAAATTTTAGATTGGATACAAGCTTTGTAGATGTGAAACAGAGAAGATCAATCTACTCCTCAATATGTATTAGATAAGACTTTCAGAATATTTCATTTTTTCATATAACAATTTCCTTAAGTTTAAATAAAAGAGAGGACATTTAGCTTCTAGTTGAATATTACATTTAGGAACTTTGTCTCCTGTGTAGTGGGAACTGGTGTATCACCCAAATACAGTTTAGGGTCTAGATGTAGATTTCTGCTGTGACAAATGGGAACACATATGGTCTTCTGACTTAAAAACTTGAATCCATTATATTCTGCCCACTCAGTAAATTTATTTAGAGCTACAAATAGCTCTTAGCCTGTAGCTCTGATTAAAATAGTTGCTTGCACCTTGACAGCTAATTTACAAGTCATCAATATATAATATTCACAGATAATACACGGAAGTTCTTTGAGAATACGGTTATTCTTAGACTGAAACGTGTCACACTCAATACACAGCCTAGGAAGACATCCTCTTCTTGAACAAACAGCTTTGATAGCAAAGAACCAATTTGAACTTGAAAATAACTGTTTGTTAAATAATTCCACAAAAAAAATTGGCAAATGACTGTATAAATCACACTCATACAGATCTTGCTGGATATCATACATCCATATTCTATCATAAGATTTTTCCATATCAAAAAGGATGGATACCAAGTGGTTCAAGTGGTTGTTAAACAACGACAGTATGAATTGCTCCCATGCTTTTCTTTGATATCTGTAGGTCTCATGACACTCACAGTTCCACTAGAGCTTTCAAAGTCTAGGCAATGACCTTGGGATAGAAAATTCAGCTGCTTGGAAAACTACTTTAAGAAATGACATTGATAGCTTCATAAATAAGCAAACTGTTCTAGCTCTCCTCTGTAAACAATGCAAAGGTAAAAAGCTGTTTCCAAGTTCGTTGACGAAAACAAAATCTGGGATTTCTTTGTAGAGGCCCTGATTCATCTTTAGTAAAAGTTAAAGGAAGTGATCATAGTTACATGAAACATTTTTAACACTAAAAGATAAGAATGAAGAGAGGTAGTAAAGATAAGGCTGAGTCAACAGCATATGTTCCTGATGACTCATGAAAATAGGTATTTTTGCCATTGCTTAAGAGACACAGGCAGTGATCATCAATCATTTGTTCTATCTTCCTCTTAAGTTAACATCATTATTTCCCCACAGAGTACTGAGTCCATTAAACAGGCTGCTGTTCTATAAGAACATCTAGGTTACCACCAAAAATAATGAAAGGATCAGGCAGCTGTTCTATAAGAACATCTAGGTCCCATTGATCAATGCACTCATCTGAAGGTAGAAAAATAGAGCACGCAGAAATCAAAATTTTTATATTCATCTGCATTCCTACAGCCTGGATACATGTTGTCAATGATAAGGCAGATGAGGGGTGGCCATAAGCAACAAGGAGAGCTATGCCTCCATGCACTCTCATCATTGACATTATCTTTCATGGCCTTCGAATACCTCCGAATCTTTGCAGATCTGGTTTCAGAAATGCTTCTTGCACCGCAAAGCAGAAAAAGCGGTGCACATCTATCAGATCTTTAATGGTCATATTATTTTGGCAGAAACTGTGACAGGTCTGTGAAATCACGGTGGGCACCATGAATATTTTGACGATCTGTTTTTTAGACTGCCCGGGTAACAGATGTTTTGGAATGTTTAATCCCTCTTATATTTCCATGCCCTCTGAATCAGCAGGGTCAGAATGCATACTTGCAAGTGAACTACTGCTGAGAACTTTACCTTTGGTTTTGATCACATTTTCTTTGATGCTTTCTTAAAGGTACTTGCCTGATTCTGTAAAGTTTGGTTTCCTTTTTTGCTGACATTTTGGAGCGCCTTTGGATTCTTGAGATTTTGTTATTTGTTCCAAAGATGCTTTTACTGACTGAAGTTTTATCATAGTGTTTGGAAAAAATGGAATGTAGTTTGAGTACCAACAACAGAAACATTTTTTACACTTTTGGCATAGGACGTATTTTTGCATGGTTGCATATTATTCACTATTCTGGCCTCTGTATATGAAATATTTGTTACTTTAAATGTTTGTACCTCCTTTTAATTTTTCCATCTTGGGCATTGCTTAGAGAATGCTGCATGCTGCCCTTGCAGTTTACATATAAAAGCACAGCAGAGCAATTTTCATTTTCATGGCCAGGCATGCAGCACTGGGCACATGTAAAGCTGTCAGAGCATGTTACATAGGGGAGTCAACTGAAAACCATAAAAGTAGAAATAAAAATCCACATATGGCGCCAGTGAGCTGTAAGTTGGCATGCCTGTTTGCGATAGTATGCCGGATGTCTCCTACGTGGCAGCAGCCAGCAGATGCACAAACACCGGCGCAACAACAGTTTCAAAATGGCAGCCCCACTAGCCACATGCACCAGCGAGGAGCAGTGACATGAGTCATGGATCGGCACATCATATTGTGCATGATGTTCTCCAGTTTCATAAGGTGTCTGCAAGATGGGTGCCCCAACAACTGACGCCTGAACTGAAACAGGGACATGTTGATGCGTGCGAAGACCTTTTGTGGCGTGCTGAACGTGACGGTAATGCCTTCCTGTCACGAATCGTCACTGGTGACGAAACATGGGTGCATTACCATCAGCCTGAAACAAAGCGAGCGAGAGGAGTGGCGCCACTCCTCATCACCGAAACCCAAAAAGTTTTGGACACAACCGTCTGCAGGGAAGGTTATGCTGACCCTCTTTAGGGATGAAAAGGGCATCATCTTGGAACACTACATGCCCCGAGGAACCTCTGTGACGAGTGCTACGTACTCGGACCTCATAAAAAATCCTCTCCGGCCTGCCATCAAAACGAAACGACGTGGATTGCTGTCAGCCGGTGTGCTGCTGCAACACGACAATGCACGGCCCCATACGGTGCGTGCAATGGTTGTGACCATCACAGACTTGAAATTTGAATACCTCCCACATCCCCCTTACTCGCCAGACCTCGCACCGAGTGATTTCCATCTGTTTGGTCCGCTCAAAGAAGCAATGGGCGGCAGGAAATTCCACTCCGATGAAAAGGTACGCAACGCGGTGCACGAGTGGTTGCGCCGTTGCCCAAAAGACTTTTTTTCTGCAGGTATTCAGGCTCTTCCGAAGCGCTGGCGGACTTGCATTGAATGAGGAGGGGACTATATTGAAAAGTGATTTACTTCTGTTCCCTGTATGACCAATAAATAATATTTTAAAAAATAATTATGGTTTTCATTTGACTCCCCCTCGTATTTCAGAATGGTCAAAGCACTGGCAATGGTAACAATATAAGGGGTTAGGAATATAAAGCTTCACAGGGCAATTAAGATACATAGTCTTAATATACTTGGGCAATTTATGTGACCTAAGAATTAAAATTACATGGTGTTAATTAGCAAGCCATCCCTGTATACCTTAATTCTAGCAGAATATACTTCCCGGTCAGAAAGTTCAGACACAAATTCTTCATCAGAAACTGGAAGAAGGTCAAATTCGAATATGAAACCCCAAGAAAAATTCTGAGTGTTGTGTGCTGAAACTTTCACTATGTTTTCTCTGTTTGGCCATTTTGAGAATTGAGGTCGATTAAATAGTAAAATGTGTTTCAATGAAAAGATTCTTAGAAATTTTTTGTGACTTTTTATAAGCATAATATTTAAAACACTTAAGAATTACAAATGGTGACATTTCTGAAAATTTGGAGAAGAACTGGTAACAAGATATCTACGAATCGGATCTGCAACAATATTCACACAAGACGTGGTTTCTTACAGATATACTAACATTTTTATTGCTTGAATCAAAGTTGGAATTAACTATAGTAGAAAGAATGGAAAGATTTAGACATTGGTCCACCACAGAGCCCAACAAGGAGTTGCAATACATGCATCAGTACTAAAAAGGTCAATACACTTTCAGAATACCTCTAACACTGCTCTCCACTCTAAAGGCATCCATCAGATGTTCCAACTGCTTATTTTGAAGCTACAGTGTCATTTGACCAACTGATTGATACACAGAGAACCGTACGTACCACTTGTTTAAACTGAAACAGAGGTCCAAGCAGTGTGTTGGAAACAGTACATCACCCCTCAACTACCAGGCTCTACTTTTCCAGCCATACTGCCTCCACAGTTGTTGAGAAGCTATAAACTAAAGGAGCCCCTGAAAAGGAAACCACAAGGAAGAAAGAAAAAAAAAAAAAAAAAAGAAAAAGTGGAAATCACTTTTTTTGGGGGGGGGAGGAGCAATGAGGTCGTGATACTCATATCACTAAGAGGGTGAGGTCTTGGTGGGTTAAGGTACCTGGGGACTGGCACACCCATACTCACAGAATGAGCCCCTGAGATATGCAACAGAATTAAACAAGTACAAAATATGAACAGTACAAAAATATTACTCTTCTTTTTATACATATGTATCAGCTATTGCCATAAAAATATACAACTTCAATTTCCTTACAAGAAAATGAAATTAAATTACTTCAACTAAAGACTACAAAATGTGTACAAAGTAGAAATGATAATTTATTAATATTTCACATAACTAGCTAGAAATAATTCAAATAGCTAAATAAATGTTTCATATTAACTAAAATTATATATGACATTAAAATACTATAATACACAACTGCTGCAAATAGCATTAATATGTGCAAACAAATGGCTCTGCACTGATTAAAACATTAGATTTGAAAACAATTATACAGAATTTTACTTATACACTAAAATTCAAATTTTAAATTTTAAATAACAGCTTACATTTTTTTATTATTATTATTAACAAAAACAATTAAATATATCACTCTCTTTGCATTAAATTTTTTTTACACAAATACTAAAATTTAACACAAATAATTGTATTTGAGATATGAATGAAGATGACTCTACTTACAGCATTTGCTGGGAATGCTCTCAACATGACAGGGGTAGCCCCTTTATATAAAGCTCTAACCCCTTCCTCTTTCATTGCATGTCTAAAGACATCTCTTATTCCATTTGGATAAGTACCTTCAGGAGCTATAAAAAACATTAAATAAATAAATATATATATAAATAATAAAAAATATATAAATAAAGGGGTGGAGACAGAAATGACAATTTGTATCATATTTAAACTAATTTTAGCAAGGATAACCACATAAAAACATTTTTTAAAAAAACACTGATATCAATAGACATTATTCCTGTTTTCTCATGCAGTGGTATACAGATAAATGATATTTGTAAATTGTGTAATAAAATAATTTTACTCATTAATTATTAGGTTAGAAACACTGAAATATAAAAACATATGATGAACAAAAATAAGTACACTAAAACAAAAAGTATTCCAATTAGGAAAATATAAGCTTCACAAAGTGGGGGGAAAAAAAAAAAAAAAAAAAAAGTTTTTTTATAAATCCGTTACTCATGTAAAATTCTTTTCCCTTACATGACAAAAGGGACAGTCACTGGAAAAAGTTTCAAAGAGGGAAAGACACTAGATACCACTAATTTTTCAGATCAAGGGGGATATTTTCCCTTTTGATATTCTTGCATCACAAATATACATATATTACACTAAAACATCAGATGTCTACAACTCTTGCTACAATTTCTCCCTATTCTCCCATTTCCTTATCCCTAATTATATAGATTTACCTTCCATTTATAACATCCCACATAATAATAATACACAATATATCCATATTTTAAAATATAACCCAAATAAATATGATTGTCATGTCCTTGATATCATGTCAATCCATCACTAATTTGCAAAATCATAATTTCAAAGAGGGGGAGGACATTCATAAAATTTGACTTACTAAAGTGGAAATACTTGGAAAATTTTATAAAACATTATTTAATTATTAGTATTTTGATAAAACATTATTAAGTTGAACTGAAACTGAAATTATTACTAAAAAATATTATTGTTTGATTTGGTATGATTTAATGACAACGAGCAATTACTAAATTTTACATTTATGACAGAAAGCTAAATGATTCTATATTAAGTTTTTAAGCCATTTGAAAACTGTTTTTCATTTTGACAACTGTTTCCATAAATTGCAATAATGTTAAAGGAAAAAATCTGAATTGTCTATATTGCAAATTAAACACATTTTAATTTCTATTAATTAGATATATTATTAAGAACTAAAATGAAGATTTAAATTATCAAATTAATTAAAATAAAAAATGAATACACTGTTTTTAAATTAAATTGATAAGCAATTAACAAAAGTAATTACTTTATGATTATGATTAACTTAAAAAGATAAGCTACAGATCTTATGTTTTGCTGAATGGCAACAGTCTGAAAACTGGCTATATTCAAGGTTAAACTTTAGATAAAGATGTTACGTTTAATACAGTTGCAACAATTGCCAAGGCAAAGGATGATATATGCAGCAGCATTTTGCATTGACTTTCACCCAGAGTTACCGTATTTGACGGCATATAAGACGCATTTTTTTCCCTAAATCTGGTCTCAAAAAAGTTACCTTCGTCTTATACGTGAAGGACACAGGTTAACTTTCAATATTGAATGCTATTTTTAGCCCGGATAAAGGTCTAGACACACATAACTTTTTCTATATCTGCCATAATTATTTTGCGCATGCGTGAAATATCTGTCGCCAAAAACCGCCAAAGCTCGAAGCTCATGTCGAAGTTTGAACAGGTTCGATGGTCATATTACGTCTACGGAGCCTTTCCTTCTTTACATAGACTTTCTTTGACTCAGCCAACACACGTGTTGGTATCGGTGCTACTCAGTATAAACGTGTCGGTATCGGTGCTTAAAACTATTTCTTTAAAAAAAAATACACTGGAAAATATGAATACAGAAAACAAGATATTAAGCTATAGAATTCAGCATAAACTAGGAGTGTTAAACTATGCCAAAGTGCATGGAAACAGAGCAGCAGCAAGGCCTTTCGGTCCACCACCTACCGAAAAAATTATACGTACTTTGGCAACTGCAGGATGATCAACTGAAGACTGCTAAAAAACACAAACATAACCTTTGAAGCCCAGCTCCATCTTGGCCTGAACTTGAAAATGCCGTAAAAATGTGGGTGATAGATAAGAGGAAATCTGGGCTAAGTGTTTCAACCAAAATGATAATCAATAAGGCCAAAAGATTTGCAGAAAAACATGGGAATCAGAACTTTTCAGGGTCTGAGGGCTGGAGCTACAGGTTCATGAAAAGGCAAGGCTTATCAATACGCACAAAAACAACTATTGCACAGAAAATGCCAGCGGATTATGAATTAAAAATACTAGCATTTCATAGGTTTGTTATAAATGCATGCAAGAAAACTTCTTTTGAACTTTGTCAAATAGGAAATATGGATGAAATTCAACTCGCATTTGATGTACCATCCAACAAGACTGTGAGTATTAAAGGGTCTAAATCAATAACCATAAAAACTACAGATCACGAAAAACCCCGATATATGGTAGTTCTAACATGTTGTGCTGCTGGCACAAAACTACCGCCATTTTTCATATTCAAAAGAAAAACTTCCAACGGGTGTAACTGTTCATGTTCATCCGAAAGGCTGGATGGACGAAGCTGGAATGAAACTATGGTTACAGAACGTATGGGCGAGGCGACCTGGTGGACTCTTAAGAAAACCCTCTCTTTTGGTTTTGGATCAGTTTAGCGTGCATAAAACTGAAACCATAAAGAATAAAGTGAGAGAATTAAAAACACAGATATCTGTCATTCGTGGTGGACTGACTAGCCAATTTGCAGCCTTTAGATGTATAAGTGAATAAGCCATTTAAGGAAAAAGTGCAAGAACAATGGAACAAGTGGATAGGAAAGCCACATCACGCCCTCACATCCTACGGTAGAATGCAGTGGCCCTCTATTTCACAAGTTTGTGAGTGAGTAAAAAGATATTGGGAGGACGTAAAGGCTGAAGTAATTGTTAAGTCCTTTAAGAAGTGCGGAATCAGTAATGCTCTTGACGGAGCAGAAGACAACGCATTATTCGAAGAAGGTGATACTAGCAATGACAGAAACAGTAGTGATGACGATATTCTCGTTTTCAATGATGATGATAGTGAAAAGGATTTTTATGGTTTTGAAAGTGATTAAAGTCTAATTTCATGATAGGCAACGTTTTCCTTGAATCTGTGTTTTTTTGTTTGTTTCTGGCTTATTTGTATTGTTTGATTGCTTGCCGTTCATTCATTTATTCATTATTGAAATTTACATATCATGCTCAAAATAGCTTTCCATTTGTTAATTTTCCTTAATAAAAATATGTTTGGTAATTGCATTCAATGATTGTTTATTTGGCTTTTGCGAAACGTTAAAACTAAAAAAAACAACATTTTAAGTTATTGTGGTACCGCACTTTCACGCGGACTATTGAAACTTTTTTTCCTTGTGTGTGGCCTTCTAAATAAAAGTGCATCTTATATGCCACTGCGTCTTATATGCCGTCAAATACGGTAATTATAAAATTATCAATTTTACTCCCCATGTCTTTATTTTTTACTATTCTTACCAAACAGTTTTTACTATGTTTAATTTTATTTTGCTGAATCTTGCCACACTGTAAGAAAATTTGTACGAATGGCAACCCGCATCTTCTATCAGTTTCATGCCAATACAGAAGCAGCTAATAATGTAACACTAAAATGGACTCTTCCAAACTTTAATTATGGCAAACCTTAGCGTCTTTCAAGCATGTTGCTGTGAAACTGCCAATTTGAAATCAACTTTGATAAAATGTAAGTAACATTTATAGTTTTGGCCTATTAATATGTAAAAATCCACTATTTATTAGACTTTTATGTATATATTTCTTCCACTTCATTTGCTTCTTAATTTTTATTTCATTTTTTCATAAATTTTCATTCGTTTTTTTTAATTAATTGTCTATCATCAAGTCAAGGAATCATTTCACATTTCTGAATGTTACAATTAGAACTCAGATTTTATAAAATTCATTAGAAAATTTAAAATTGGAATAGAGATTTTGTTCAGAAATGCAAAATGACAAAATGCAGTCGGTTGTATGGAGAGATTCCAGTTCCCCTAGAAAAGTTGGCATCTTTCTATGGAATCAGTAACAATTATCTTGTTTTAATTGTTTAAATTTACTTTTTATTAATTAAGCATTTTAACTATCAATCCCAGTTTAAATAATTACAAATTTTGATTTCCACAATAGTACATATTTACTATCTAAATTTTACTTCACATTCTCTAGGAGGTAATTCTTCATTTATAAATATTTATATATATCTGTTTGTGCATGCACCTTTGGGGGAAATCAAATTACGACTTTCAGGTAGCACTTTCATTTGCATCTAAGAGAATATGGATCTCATTTAACAAAATGACAAAAATCAAAAGGGATACATTTTCATCACATCAAATGCAATCTTGGCTGGCATTCTGCCAAAGCACTTAGGGTCATCCAGAAGGGCTATTAGTTACATGCTGCAGGGTGTAAAGGTCATAAGAGCTATAGAATATCACCAAAACTTATGTACAGCTTTAGGTACTTATGTTGTGTCACATGACACTGTGAAGGTTTGGTACCGAAAGTTCAAAAACCAGGACTATGACATTCAAGAAGCAGAGCACTCTGGCTGGCCTACTGATGTTGATGAGGCTCACCTGCAAGAACTTGTGGAAGAAGAGCAGTATGCAACTATTTGAGAGCTTGCTAAGGAGTTAGACATTGTGCCATGTCCATTAGTCGCACTATGCATCCCATAAACTTGACATACAAGTTCAATTGCTGGGTGCCGCATGAGCTGATTCACACAGATAAGGACTTTGGGCATGTTTAAACATGTTTGGAATTAAACATGATAAACATGTTTGGGCCTGCACCAATCTTCTCAAATATCAACGCCAGGACAAATTTCTAGACTAGATCGTCACTTGTGTTCAAAAGTGGAATTGCTTCAACAACATAGGCCAGAAAAGGGGTTGGTCTGCATCCAGTGAGCCCATCAGCAGCATTACAAAATGCAATTTCAATAACAAAAATATCATGCTTTGTATCTGGAGAGATTTCCGTGGTATTATCCACAAAGAGTGTCGGGGAAAAGGCAAAATTCTTGACAGTAATTTGCACAGTGAGATGCTAGTCTGTGCTGACGTTGCTTTGAAGGAAAAACCTTGAACTGAGTTTTGGCAAAGGGGTAATTTTCTATCAAGACAATGTAAGACCACCACATGTGTCGGCATTCACCGGCTGGACTCTGTACATATCTTTTGACACACCCACCATCACCGACATCACTCCTTTGGACTTCTACCTTTTTTTACACCTGCACCTATATCTTGCTGTTGCTATCCTCCATTCTGCACAAGACGTTTGAAATGAGATTGATCTGTAGTTTGAAAAACTACCAAAACATTGACTGAAAATCATAGATTTGGGTGGTGATTACTACCTACCCTAAGGGTACTGCTTTTATGTCCTCCCCCCCCCCAACATAAACATTCGTTTCTAACAAAGCATTTGTTACAAGCAGATATGTAATATAATATATAATATATACTAAAATATAATACAATACAAAGTATTTATGGTGTCGAGCTTCCCAGACGTTGAAACCATACACGATGAGTAATAAGAGAATCTCACTTTCGTGATATACAATCGTACACTTGCAAGTGATCATGACCCTATTTCTTTAATGTACCCCCAAGTCTCACTTTGTGTACTACTGGGATGCACATATCTCACTTTAGAGACCACTGATCTATAATGCAAAATATAACTCAAGCAATTTTTTAACAATAATAGAAGCTACAGCTTTAAAGAACTGGAGACTTGAAAAAAAAAAGGGAAGATTATAAATTGTTGCCATAGCCACTATTTTATCCTAGACAATGATGCATTGCAATAATCCTCACATATAATTCAGTTATGGAAGAATTTTAGAAAATTCTAAGATGCAATTAAATTTTAAATAATTATTATTAGATGTAATTTGAATTATTCATTAAAAGTGCAAAACATACATATGACCAATTATAATGAGAAAATGTTATTTATTCTTAAACATTTCCTTACAACTTTTATTAGCTTTATAACTAAAGCCACCCAGATGGTATAGTGGTTAGGGAAGCCTGACTGCGACACCAAAGGGCCCAGGTTCGAATCCCGGAGAAGGCATGGATGTAAAAACTGTCTGTTCCTTCGTAAGAGGCAAAGGTGGTCAACCTATTAGGTGCCTCCATAATAAAGAGACCACCACATCTGGCCTTAGTAGTGCCCGCCATTGGGGGGGGAAGCTTTATAACTATTGATTCTAGAAAAATCTTCAGTGGAATCTTCAAACTTTTTACAACATTTTGGTTATACAGTCAAAAGTCGTTAATTTGGACACCCATAAATCCGGACCTCAAAGCTAAAAACTTTCTGCACATGCGCCGCGTTGGCACATACGCACAGGCGTTTTACGCGCGCGCGTAAGACCTTGATGACCGCGCATATGCGTGCGCGCAAGTGCAGAATACGTTTTCGCCTTCGCGTTTAATGTATAACAGACGGTGTAAGCTAAAATGATCTAATTATCTATTTCAGTTAATGTTAATGATTGCATTGTTCCTTAATCTTCGAATTGGATCCCGCTTATTATTTTTTGCAGACTGTAAGAGCAATTTTATAAAAGTAAACTTGAACTTTCGATTATGTCAAATACAATTTCCGAAGCTGGAATTTCCAAAAGATCTACAAAACGAAAGTATGTTTCCATGTCCATCAAACAAAAAGTGGAATTGCAGCAAAAATTGGATAAAGGCATACCTGTCTCAAAGTTATGCAAGGAATATAACATTGGAAAGTCAACTGTATATGACATAAGCAAAAAGAAAAAGAAACTTTTTGATTTTTTTGTGGATTCCGACACCCCACTTGCAATGAGTAAACAGAAAAAGGGTTCGTTATGCTAAAAAGTGACGATCATGACAGAGTGCTGATTGAATGGGTCAGACAGCGTCGCAGTGAGGGCGTGCCATTGACGAGTCCAATGGTAATGGCTGAAGCCAAAATATTTCATGAAGAAATGAACTTAAACGGAGAGTGCACATATTCGACAGGTTGGTTAACAAAATTTAAAATCGCCATAGTATAAGACAATTAAAAATTTCTGGTGAAAAATCTTCAGCTGATACTGAAGCTGCTGAACAATTTTCAGATGAATTCATCGAATTCATTACTAATGAACAATTATCTGCAGAACAAATTTACAATGCTGATGAAACTGGTCTTTTCTGGCAATATGTACCGTGAAATACCTTGGCAACCTCTACAGAAAAGGCTCCAACTGGTGTCAAAGATTCCAAAGCGAGACTAATAATTTTAGTGTGCGCAAATGCTGCAGGAACGCACAAGTGCAAACTTTTCGTAATCGGAAAACATGCACGACCTCGACTGTTTAAAGGAGTAACGATTTTCCCTGTTATATATCGCACAAATAAAAGAGCATGGATGACACAAGTGTTGATGAATGATTGGTTTGAAAATCATTTTATACCCGAGGCTCGGCGACATTTGAATTCGGTTGGTTTACCTGATGACTCAAAAATAGTTCTGATTGTTGATAACTGTTCGGCGCATACTTCACTTAAAGTTTTAGTGAAAGATAATGTATATCCGTGTTACGTGCACGCGCTGAAATGCAAATGTAAAGCAGCATTTTTAAAATCTATGTTAAAATTTCTTGAACAGTGGCAAGACTATTCAAGAATTTTTGAAATTTTTTAGCATAAAATCTGCCGTGTGGAGCATCGCAAGATCGTGGGAGGATGTGTCTCCAAGTACGTTAAAAAATGCTTGGCATAATTTATGGCCATCTACCATAGTTCATGGTGAGGAGGATGAAGACGATAGCCACGAATTTGAAGGTTTTCGGACATCGCAAACTAAAGGTGAAATTTTTCAGTTAGTGGATTTTGTAAAGAAATGTGGAGAAGCTGTAATAAATGAAGATGATATAAGAGAAGTTTTTCATTGCGACGACAATGCCCCAATCATCAATCAATTAACGGACAGCGAAATATGTAGTATGGTTCTAGATCCAGAAAATATCACTTCCGATAGTGAAGAAAGTGACACAGACATTATCGAAAACAAAACAATTTCAATTGACAAATTAGTCGATATTCTCGACACCGCAATTATAGGACTTGAACAGCGGAACTTTGTAATTGAACAAGAAATTATGTCTGTTTATAGAATTAAAGAGAAAGTATTATCACATAAAACGAAACAACTTAAACAACTTACATTGATAGAAATGTTTAATAAAGTAAACAAATAAATATTAGCTTTTTTTTTTTTGTAAATTTTGTTACCCTTTAGATCATAATTGTTCTTTATTTCATAAATTATGGTTTCATATTTTTAATTTTAAAATTTCTGCATGCCATCTTACGAGATTTAAACTGATGATCCATAATCCGGCAAAATCGATAATCCGGAATCACCGAAGTCCCGACGAGTCCGGATTAACGACTTTTGACTGTATAATGCTATCCTCCATACAATTGGATTTATCATCTGTAAAATTAGATAAATACCCCCATTGTGTGAAACAGAAAATCTTCAATTTACCTTCCACACAACCTCATTAGCTTCCAGAAACATATATATATACCAAGTCTCAGAAAAAGCTTTATGCAATGGCTTGTCAAAAAGCCCTACACCACAAGGTGTATGGCCAGAATTGTAGACATTTCCGAAACAATGCCACACCATTATATGAGGCCCATTGAGTTCAGAATTCGCACATGTTTATTTTGTGGGACTTTGTAAAAACATTTCACAAATTTTTTCAACCACTTTGGATTGGGCTACTTTTGTCCAAGGACTAATTTTCTTATACAAGCAGCCCACTGCTTCACCCAGCATTTGATGTTGTGACAATGCAGTGGTTCTTTACCATGTTTTGTGTAAAAATGTCTTTGAAAGATGATAAATGATTATGTATTGCCATACTCCAAAACACTGCATGCTTTCTCCTGCATGAATGGTGCCATTTTGATTAACAGTGCTCCTAGCAGCCATTTCGTAACCAGAAGATTTTTTGCCGCTGTCAGATGAAACTTGCATGATTGCAATTTTAAAATTAATTTGTTTCTGCTTAATAAATCAATTACGGAATTTGTACTATGCTATTCTTTTTGTCCCATTCAATATATTATATTGAATACTGTATATTTGTACTTACATAAAAGTAAAATATTTAGGTTTGAATTTTTTTTATACAAATTATAATAAACAAAGGATTTGATTTATAATACCATTATTAAATATCTGGCTCACCTGTTTGTAAGCGAGATTTTAGCACATCAGCTGGTATAGCAACCATCCAATTGCAAATACCTGCTGTACCTCCAGCTAAAAGTGTTCTCCACACGCTAAGATCATTCCGGCTGCAATCATATATTTTACATTATATTAACATTTAGTTTTTTTATAAGCACCTCCTTACAATTTAATAACAAACAAAACAATTATAATAATGCAATGAATTAAATTGAAATACAATGATGCTTTACACATCCTTTTTTAACAGAATATTAATAAGAAAGAAAATTTGTGTTATAAATTATCATATCAGAAAAATTCATTCAATATTAACATCACACGTCTAAAATATCTCTGAATGTTAAAAAATAGTATCACGTAATTTATCTTACTAGCTCACTGATTGATCTGATTTCTAATCACTTAGTATGTGTATGAACTTAATATAAACAAGATAAAGTAAAACCAATTAGATAACATGCCGAGTTACATGTACACTTTGGCTTTAGAAAAGTTCCAGTTTAAAATGAGAGCAAGAATATTAAGGACAAGGAAACAAAACAGAAGATTATTTTACTACTAGCCTGCCAATTTCTAACCCATAACTTCTATTTTAAAAATGGTTAAAATAGTTTAAGAAGCATTTTCTCATAAAAACTTCAGGCAGGCTGCTATCCTTTTTTTAAAAAAAGTTTAAACAATAGAATTTTAAAAGGACTACAACTGATACTCAAATTTGAAACATTTTATTAAAATAGTTAATAAACTTAAATTTCACATGTTAAGATAGAGCTACATTTATACTCGAGTTGCAAAAAATTATTACATAAGTTTCACTAAGCAAAAATAAGCAGAATGCTTTAGGTTCTGGAAGAAGAGGACAGAAATAGGCATTTATATTAAAACCAATCTAAATATTAATTTTTCTTAACTTGATATCTGACATTGGCTCGTATCAGTTACATACACTTCAGCTACAATATAATTTATGCTGAAACACAAATAAAAGAATCGCAGATTTAAATAATTGCACAGTTGTTATTAAAATTTCTTTGGTCAAAGTTCATGACAGCTAATAAAGGGATTGTGACAATTTAATACAGGAAATATCTTTGATTACATTAAAAATTAATTTTATAAATAGCATTCTTAAGATCAGTGACTGCCATTGAAATTACATTAAAAATTAATTTTATAAATGGCATTCTTAAAAGAATATCAGTGACTGCCATTGAAACTATTATAGATTCATTCTTCACATATCTTAAAGATTTAAAAATAAATAACACTCCTTTTTTAAGCATTCAGTGCTTTGCACTGCCTGCAGTTGCAATAAATTATAGTCCAAAATGTATGCTTTATGACTTCCTTAGTGCTTAAAAATCATGTCAAAACTGCTATGTGTTGTCATCCATAGCAAATACATAATAAAAAACCATTTAATATTCTAACATAATATCTTGAAACTTGTATCTGAATAATTGGAAAAAATTTGATATTTTTAATCATAAGCTGTCAGATGTAGAATAATTCCTATTTTATTTCGAGAAATACAGGCATTATCAATTTCCCACTTATTTTCAGTTATTAAATTCATCATGCCAATTAAAATTTCAGTTCCAAAATGTAACAGACTTCTTAAAATTCTTTTAAAAATAATTTAACTTGTTGAAGTTAAAGAAAGAGTACAAATTTTTATCCTAAACACAGGATCCTTTTGCTCCATGTTTTGAAATTAAATTTAAAAGTTTTTAACTCTATAAAAGAATTTCAGCTTGAAATATTTCATTATTAGAACAAATTTTATAATAAACACAAATTATTACTGCACAAAAAATTTTTCAGAAAAATTATACTTTTGGTCTGATATTGGTTGGTTTACAGGATTATAGTTGTAGAGGCTCTCTTAGTATTACAGTAAAATATGGATAAGATATAGCACTATATATTGAATATTTAAACTTTATATGTGAATATGCAAAAGTGATTTTACACTTGTACCTTTTTCCTGGTGGAGTTAACACTCTTTGAAGCCATTCGTATGACATAAAATACATACCACTTGCTGGTACATCTGGTAAGAAAAGGAGAAAAATCAATAAATTCAAAATTTAAGAGATTTTTCTGTTTCAAACTCATTAAAATCAAGCATAAAACAAGAGTTTAAATATTTTTGAGAAATAGGCATACTTTGCATACATATTTACATATTATTGGATTATGCTTTTGCATGTCAGTATAAGAAATACTGCAGGAATATATGTTTTCAAATTTAATTAAAATGAACCTTCCTAAATTATAAATTTATTAAACATTTGTTAAATTAAACTCACATTAAAAATAGCCACAGATTTACTTGAATATATGAAAAATTATTATTTTTCACTATGTGAAATGTAACTTTATATTTTGAAATAAGGATTTTTTTTTTATATGGAAATAATTGAAAAGGATGGAAAAGATCATTCAAAAATATAAAAATAGAGTGTTCTCTTCTTTTAATGAAAACAAATGAATTACAGCAACTACTTCCTTTAAGGGCTCATTCATCAAAGCACCAATATCTACGAAGGAAATACAGCAGTTGAAGTATAAAAATATAAAAGACCAACAATCTAAAGGAAGCAATGGAAGGGTTTGATTTTCAAAAAACAGGAAACAGGAAATAGCTATATCCGTCCATCTAAAGCTAGTATTATCCCTTATTGTATGCAGCTAACAGTCAAACAACAGTCCAATCACATAAAGAAGTTACATACACATTTCTAAAGGCATATTTTCTGCTACATGAAGTGCTTTCAATTTACAATTAAAAGAGAAAGGCATAAGAAGAAAATTTTAAAAACATGCCATTCCTTTCAAAAGTGTACTATCTGCTCATACTCAGTATATGGATAACAGAGACACTGCAAGTAAGATAACTATAATAGTTCTATATTTATAAAACCAGCTATTTTGCTGAATTATTTTATTTATTCTGTTTTCACCTTTCAATTAAAAATTAAGCCTTGATAAAAATTAAAATCATACTACATGCTCTGAATCAATTATACATTTATTTTAATACTATAATTTTATAATTATATAATCAAATACATATTCTCTGTCATTTTTAATTATGTTAATGTTCAAATGTCAGTTCTGTAAGGTCTGCACAGACTCTAAAGACAAACTCTTTAGCTCTGATTTATTTAAATTAATATTTTTGATTAATACAAATAAATATTTTTATAACTCTGCTCGATAATGCTAGAAAAAATTAAATAATAGTTTTAAAATAATTAAACATATTATGACCAAAACATTGGCAATAAAATTTTGTAAACTTTAAAAATTATTTAAAAATTGGTAGAAATATGTAATGTATTTAAACTTAATTTTTTTAATAAAACTAAATGTTTTACAAAAGATTTAAAATTAAAATGGGAATAAATATACAAGGTGTAGAGGAATATCAGGCCTCAGATAAAGCATACAGATATAGCAGCTGTCAGTAAAAGATCAACAGCAAATACAGAAAAGTATGCTTTAGATATCAGTAACTGCATTGAGGCCAGAGAAATGTATACTCCTAAGTTAATGACACATTGGTTTAATTTTGATTTCATCTGCCTTGTTATAATGACTTCTGCAATAAGAATCTTGGCTAAATTTATGTATAAATATGTAATAAGTCATTTTACTATGTATAAAAAAATTCTATTAACTTATCTCCTCAAGCTAAATTTACATAATACTTTTTTTTGACAAGCTTTCAATCCATCAGATATTATAATTAAGTCTACTTGATTTCTGTTCCTTTTTGTCACTCGAATCCAACACCAGAAGAATGTTCACAAAATTTCAGCTGTCACTTTACATTATACAGCATAAAATCATAAAATTAACAGAAATACATGACTGTTTACAATTGGTGAGGGAATATTGCTCAGAAATGGGGCTAGAAAAGTGGTTCTGACCCTTTTCTGTCCCATGCACACCTTTCACCATTGCTAGATGATCATTCTCTTCCCCTTATCTGCAAAACTCAAAAAATATCTAAACATTTATTTAAAATTTTGATTATTTTTAATGTGTTTTATAAATGAAGCAAGAAAAAGTACAGAAAATGTTGATAAGTACCAAACCATGAATAAAAGCAGTTTCTTAAATTCATAAAACTAAATACTTAACAGGTCAAAATAAAAGTCTGGTTATATTCCCACCCCAGAAACTATGAGTCTCAACTGGGGTGGGAGATTATGCCCCCTATTTTGTGCTAGAAAAATTAAATTATAGATCAGTAAATAGCAAGATGGAAAGAAACTTCCTAGGGATAATAAGCTTCTAATAGTATTCAGCAAAAATTGGCAGAAATTATCTGAGTAGAATATTATGATAATTTTGAAAATGAGCATTGCTATACTCTTCTGATATTTAAGCTGATCAGCATGGCTATGATAATCGGTTATTTTACAAGAATTTATTTCAATCCTCCACATATGAATCCTCCTTTATGAATGATGGAACAGAAAAACCTAAGTAAAAAAGATAAAGAAATCATCTACAACGGAAAATTTGCATAAAACATTCCCATAATTTTTGCAAAATGATTAAACCATGAAATACCAAAGCTGTGCATGAGGTTTTTACAATTTACCTCATATAACATAAATATGAATTTATTTTATTTAAAAATTTATTATGGAGCATACCTTTCCTTAGGTAGACTGCCCTCAAATTCTGTGTTATAACTAACTGATCTAGTACCCAAGCATTGAAGAAAGAAGAGGCCTAACAGAATTCTATCTAATATTCTTAGTAAATTATATTAGGAGAACTTAAATAAATTAAAAGAGATAAAACCAATATATAGATAAAAAAAATAAATCCATTCAAAAAGTGTTTTCTGCAGTAATAGATAAAACTTAGCACCTTTAGAAATAAAAATCTGATATAACGCACGGACAAAAAATATCAGTGTAAAACGTTTTCCAGAGTTTGTACACATTTCTGCACACAAAAATTAAGTACATTTATGTTCAGTTAGTTTTCAGCCCAGAGGTTTTGTAAACAGCAGGCAAATTTTATGGCAAATGGCATGGGTTAAAACATAAAGTAAAATCATAATCAACATGATTCACAACAGAAGATTGGACGTTGTGACCACTGTTGCTTACCTAGAGAGAGACCTGCTGATCAGAACAGATCTGAATGTCTGATGTGGGCACAGTTTTCAAGTTTTTGAAAGTTAGTTGGATCTGCCTGTGTGATGCAGTTAGTATCATAGCTTCATGTACAGTTCCTGGGGTTGTAACCCAGTTAATATACTTTAAAGTTAAACCACTAAAGCATAAGAGGTGATAAGTTGTTTTGCATTATTTTAAGTCTCATTAGCTGTAAGGAATAAGTTTTATATTAATTTTTACATTTTTGTGCTGTAGCTTGTTACCATGGTAAAGGTTAATGAAAGGTAATAACTTGCTTTAACATACAAAAATAACTTTTAAGGGCGAGTAATTAGTTACAAATAATAAAATTTAGTAGCTACATATCCTTAGTCATTTTAGATTTACATGGCTACTATTAAAGTTTATTTTTTAAAAACATTTGTTGAAAAAACACTATTAAAATCATAATCTAATAAAATTTCACAGTTAAAACACATGTAATTTAGGACACTGATTCTTAAACAATATTAGGATAAAGGATATACATAAATAATATAAGATTAGGATAAAGAGATTAGTATTAGGGTAATACATTAAAAGATACAAAACAGTTACGTTCATAAACATAAACGTTTTGTAGACATTTATGTTCAACAAACATAAATGTTGTTCTTACAAAACACATGTTCGTAACAACAACACATAAAAAAAAATATTTATGCATCCTTTTAATTTGAAACCTTCCCAGACATTCTGGCTAATTTATATCAATTTCTTCTCTTTAAGCATCATTTTTAACAATAAGAAATTTGTTTCAATATGCAAACCAATATTCCCACTAGTTTCTGCTTCATCTCTTAACTTGTCAATGTCTGGACAATATACCTATGAAGTTTTACTTGATCTGGTAAGTTCAATAGTCTCAAGCCCTTGATAAACATGATGCAAATTATTGTTATGTATGAAAGTAACTATAGAAAGAGATAAAGGTTTAAATAAACCTCTTTTTTATTAAAAAAGAACATGGAATATAAATGCAAGTTCTTATGCTAACAAAATAATCTACAGCTCATGATGGTGTAACTAAACAGAAACAGACAAATTCAAATTAAAAATGTGGATTAGTAGTCAAAGACTAGACAATTTAATTTTAATCTAAGCTGGTTCAGTAACTCTATCGTCCTAACAAATTCAAATGTTAACAACAATAACACAAAGCTGAATAATTCCAAATTAGGAGCTGGCAGCAACTAATGCAGCATGCAAGTGGTGGCCAGAAACACACTTTGTCTTACAATACAAAAACCTCAGTTATATTAAGTAACTGATTTACACGCTGGTGAAGAAATGCTGGTAAGGAAATGAATATTTTTAGACAAACTTTTACCATGAAAATATAAAAATGAGATTTTTTTAAATAAGTATACATTTATTTTGCTTTTGCTAAGCATTGTTTAATAAATTGTGGTTTATGGCATTTATTACCTTGTTTATTTTTCAGATTCAAAATATTATAATAATAAGTCGCCAAAATGGAAAGTAATGTCACTTTATAATATGACAAAGAAAAATAAAAATGTTACATTTTAATGTTACTTCTTAAATATAATTTCAATATATTACCATTATTTTAATGAAATTTATCAATGTTATAATGTTTAAAAAACTTGTTAAAAAATTTATAGATCTCGGAATTAAAAAGTTTGCATGGAAATTGATCTTAAAATTGCCAAAATGTTGATAAGTCACTAAATTTAGAACCATTGAATAAAAGAATTCACATCTCCAAAAGGGAAATGAATTCATCATTAGAAAAAAAAAAAAGAAATAATTTAAAAATGCTTATGTTTCACTTCTTGCCCGGAAACTTGAGTATTGCATAGTATATATTAGAAACAGGAACAAATTCAAATGATAGCCCACGAACCCATTTGAATAATAACCATATTTGTCAGCGAATTGCCAAAAATATTCCTCCAAAATGCTAATTCACACTCAAAATGACAGTCATAAAATCAGACAGAAATTTCAGATGACTAAAATTAGTGACTTTCTGGCAATTTTGGCCAAAATTAAAGACCAAAAACTGATTTAACAAAACCTAAAGAGTTTAAAGGACCATATGAACCTTGTTTTCCTCAAATTTTTAAACGAAAAAAAATATTCCAGTTTAATAATTCTTTTAAAAACTTTAAAATTATTTCTGTTAAAGGGATAAATAGCATTTTAGGAGCTGGAAAGTCTGGGATCTTTCTTGTTCCATTGAGAAAGGACTTTCAGACTTAATTCATTACATAGCAATACATTCTCTTCAAGTTTCTTCTCTAGTTTCAAGGACTGAAAAGGGGAACTCCTTAAAGGCTTCTGTAACACTTTGATGCCCTTCTTTGCCAAAAAATCAGCTGATTCATATCCAGGAATTTCACCATGTGTACAGATTCATTGGAGATATGAAGAAAAAGATTTTAACATGTTTCTGCACTCTTAGATATGAACATTTTCTGCATTTCAGCGATTAGAAATGGAATAAATAAAGAAGGGTTAGGTTAGGCTAGAATGAAGAAAAGCATATACTGGCTATCTTCCTAGGGAAAGGCATACTGTTGTGGATTACGTTTTAAGGGAAACTGGTTTCTTTTCATATTACGTATGGGAAAAGACATGAAAACAAACAATGCAGCCTACTCATTTGTCTAGGATCAAACTCTCACCATTTAGCAGCCTTAACCACTCGGCTACAGCTGAGAATAACTTAAATAAAATAACTACATTGTGATAAAATTATATGAAGATATAGCCACTTGAACATGATATAGATGGCTTCCAAGTCCTGATCAAAATGGACAGAGTGGCACAGGATTTATATCCATAATGAAAATCAGTATTTAAACAGCATTTATTAATTTAATTTGTATAATTACTTATTTCAGTCTTCCACAACTTACATTCATTAAGATGAAATTTACATTATTAAAGAAAGTAAGAAAGCAAAATATCTTAAATTATAAGTTAATACAGTCAAAAGTCATTAATTCGGACACCCATAATCCGGAATGATCTATAATCCGGACCTCAAAGCTACAAACTTTCTACGCATGCGTCTTGTTGACGCATGCGCATAGGCATTTATGCGTGCACGTAAGACCTTTACGGCTCCAAAAATGTGTGTGCACATGCGCATAATACGTTTACGCATGCAGGTTTAATGTATAACGGATGGTATATGCTAAGCTAAAATTATCTAATTCAGTTAATGTTGCAGATTGCATTGTTCCTTAATCTTCGAATTGGATCCGGCTTATTATTTTTTGCAGACTGTTAGAGCAATTTTATAAAAGTAAGCTTGAACTTTCGATTATGCCAAATAGAATTTCCAATGTATATTTACTAATATGTAAAGGATCTACAAAGCGAAAGTATGTTTTGAAATCCGAAATCTGTTTATCAATTTCATGCTGCTCTGCGCCGGGGGGGGGGGAACCGCGGCGCGCAATGAATTGGAAGTTGATCTGTCAGCACTATCCTTATCTTCAGGGCAGATGTTTTTATTTTATTTGGCTTATAATTCCTTACTAAATGTAGTATTTCATCTCGATGTACTCCGTCTTTGATATGATATAAATCAAGTTCCTCATCATTATAATTCACTTCCGATAGTGAAGAATGTGACACAAAGGTTATTGAAAACGAAAAAATTTCGATTGACAAATTAGTCGGTATTCTCGACACAGCAATTATAGGACTTGAACAGCGGAACTTTGTAACTGAACAAGAAATTATGTCTGTTTATAGAATTAAAGAGAAAGTATTATCACATGAAACGAAGCAACTTAAACAACTTACATTGAAAGAAATGTTTAATAAAGTAAACAAATAAATATTAAGCTTTTTTGTTTTGTAAATTTTGATACCCTTTAGATTATAATTGTTCTTTATTTCATAAATTACGGTTTCATATTTTTAATTTTGTAATTTCTGCATGCCATCTTACCAGATTTAAACTGATGATGTATAATCCGGAAAAATTGATAATTCGGAATCACCGAAGTCCAGATTAACAACTTTTGACTGTATATACCAAGTAGCAAAACTTCTGATGACCAGATAAACCCGGTCATAACACTCAGAGGGTTTAAAAAAAAAAAAAAAAAAAAAGGAAAGAAGAGAAAGAAAAAAGAAAATCTGAAAGCTTTCAGATTTTATACTACTCCCAAAAGAGCATTTATTTTTTAACATATTGTGCATTATCTTTACTCATTAAATATTATGTTCTTCCCACTTAAACTACATAAAATTCAATTTAATAGCAATATCACAAAATATTTAAGAACAGCAAAACAACATATCTTCAGAATTTCCAATAGGCAGTCTCGCGCACTGTAGATAAAAGTTTTTTTTTTTTTTTCATACAGTGTTGCCATAGCTCGCTTTGAAATCTTTGAGCTCGCTAATAAAAAATTCATTAAGGTTTTACAAAACTTGATATAGATAATAAAACAAATTTGAAATTTAAAATTCAGGCTTCCAAGTGCTTATGTTCAGTTGGAGGACTACATTATTCAAACTGATTGGCTCTAGGTACCGTTGTTTTTTAACAATGTGAGAAACATTCATGCAGATTCTTCATTATTTAGTTTCTTTAAATACAATACATGGCAATAATATTTGGTGGCAACAGTTTGAAAAGAGAAGCAACGCAGTTGAACGACGCAAAATGCCATTTTGAGACTAATAGCCCTTTAGATTTAATGCCTTTTTGGACTTTAAAAAAAAAAAAAAAAGATACAGACAGAAAAGAATACAGTTCCCCACATAAAACCCGATATCTGCTCTCGTGAACTAATAAAATAGCGAAATGAATGTGGAATTCATTTCCTACTAATATACAGCCAGCCAGGGGACATAAGATAAATCAAAATGGATATTCATACCCTCAAACTCTGATGGGGACATAAGATGATGAAAAATTTCCACTGCACATTTCAAGCTGAACACCAGCTTCAAATGCAATCTTAAGAAATCCTTTCTGTATTTTGAATACTCTTATACCATTATTAGAATTTTGGAGAAAGAATAGTAAAGTAATGTAATTAGTTTTCATAAAGGATAATTGTATTTTATTATATTTACCGCAAGTAAGATACAAAGGTGAGTTTGTACAGCATGAACGTGAGTGGTCTTAAAGGCCCATGTAATAATACTAAGAACTGTATGTGGCCTCCAGTTTCTGGATGATATCGGTTCAGTAGGAGCAAGCAACTTATCAAGAGGAGTTTGGGGCTATCAGAAATTCAGGAAATTTCTTTAGGCGCTGTGAAAAATTAATCATAATTGTAGAATTCAAGAAAAAGATTTAATGGCAATCTTTAAAAAATTGAAAGAAAAATTAATAGTAACAGTATTAAACCTAATGTTGTTAACTCAATGCACTGAATCTAATTCCTTACTCCGCTGCACAAAAGCAAGAAACTTTCATGTGCTGCCTCCCACATGATCTCATTCAGATGAAATTTGTATTTAGAGTTTCATGATTACAGCTCCATTATTAATTTAAAAGGTCTACATAAAGCAATAATAATCATAATGATGATAATTTGAATTTAAAAATAATCCAATAAATTTAATTACATATGCTCTTCAATACAAACCCAAAACAAAAAAACAAAAAAATTAATGTGGACTAAGAGTAAATATTTTTCATTTGCATTAAAAACACATACATGATGCATTACTATATAATTTCATACATTTTTTATGAAGCTAGTTTTAATGGGAAAAAAACTCTGATAATTTAAATTATTCCCTGAAAAATATACTAGGAGATATTAAACTTCATTTATAATAAATATATGTTTCAAACAACAAGAGAAAAATCTATGCATTGAAAAAGAAGCAGATGAAAAGGCATATATAAATATTTCTCAATCAAAATTTGAAACAACAGATTTCCCATTGTAAAATAACCTATTAATGAATTGCATATACTCTGTTGGCCGTTAAAACTGCAACACCATGAAGGAAAGCAAATGATACAAAAAGGATATTTACTGCACATAAACAGTATGGCATGAAGACAAAATTATTAAATTTATAAGCAGTTTGGAGGTTTACATCGGTGCGGAATTAGTAGAAACAGCTACCATTCCTTGCAGCTAACACAGCTCTTACCCCATTAGGCATGGAGTCAAACTGGGCTTGGATGACAGAAATGTGCAACTCATTCCATGCTGCTTCATATCTATGCCATACTTCATCAACTGTGTTAGCTGGAGAGGGGCGGCAGGCCAGTCTCTCAGCAACCCATGACCAAATGTTTTCAATGGATGACAGATCTGGACACCAAGAAGGTCAGGGCAGTAATTGAAGAAGATCACAACATGAGGTGCAACATGTGATGTCGAATTATCTTGTTGGAAGATGGCATTTGGGGGCCTCAAAGATAGGGCAGAACCACTAGACGTAAGATGTCATAAATGTACCAAGCTGCATTCAAATTGCCATCGATCTGTACTAGAGATGTGCGTGTCATGTACCCAATGGCTGCCTAAACCATCACATCAGGTGCAGGGCTCCTATGCCAATAATAAATACAAGCAGGCAACGTGTGGTCTCCTCGAACAACACATATACGGCCATCAGAATACTGCAAGCAGAACCGGGACTCATTTAAAAAGGTAACATTGTGACATTCCTGTATCCAGCTTTGTTGTTTGCTGCCATCTCTCTCTATGCTGCATTGTCATGGGAAGACAATGTAATGGTCGCCGTGCTGTAGTCCACGCTGCTGCAAACATTGGCATACCATATGAGCTGATACTAGGCATACCATATGAGCTGATACTGCAAACATTGGCATACAAACATGCCCATTTCCTGACTAACGGTCCGTAATGCGGTTGTACAATTTTGCAGGGCTGACGTCACAATATGTCTATCCTCTCAGGCGTTAGTCCTGGGAAGGCGTTGAGATCCTGCATGCCATTCAGTATCACCCTCAACAACCCATTCATTCCATACTCACATGACAGTGGTCGGATGTCAACCAGTGCGATATGCAATGGCACGGAACAATAATCTACACTCTCAACAGGAACTATAATTCACACTTTCGATCCTGAATATATCAAATTCCAAAACTTGCTGGTAAGCATTTTCTCTTCTTATTCGAGGCATAACACAATATTCTGAGCAAACTCCAAGTTTACAAAGTGCTTTCCGAATGAGAAATCCACTGTACAACTTTTCTTTTAAGCAGTGCTTCAGATGTCATTTCTGCCTCCTGCCTCGTCTAAATGTGCTAAAATACTAATCCCAGCTTCTTTTTCCTTCCATGTGATTCTGACATTTGTCAGATCATTCCTTCCTGGTATTGCAATTTTAATGGCCAGCAGTGTATTTCATACTTTATATATTAATAATATTCATATATTTTATGTTTTTATGCTTAAAATTCATTGTAAAAAATCACTTATGTTTTTGCTACACTTAGGTACCAGATGATCTTCAATGGGGTAAAACTTGCCCGGCTGAATGCCAATGTGAAATTAAAACTGCAACTGAAACTTTAATTTCACGATGGAAAGATGAAAACAGTCTGGTAAAATCAGCCTTATGTGTTTTCAAAAATGACAGTTTGGATTCGATTGTTGAGCTACCTAATGATACAGAATCCATTACATTTCTACAAGCAGATGATGATACAGTAATGGTTTTTACTCATAATATTCTCAAGACTATCCCTAAATTAAAAAGCATTGATATGCAAGGGTCACTGAGTAATGCAACAACTTACATCACAAATGATGTATTTCATGATCTCCAAGATTTGAAATATTTATCACTACAGCGAGTGGATATAATTGGTGCAGAAAAAGCCTTCTCAAAGCTTTCATCTCTAGAGGTTCTGTATGTCATTCATTGTATCATAGATTATTTAAAGTGGGAGATGCTTGATGGTTTAAAGAATTTAAAAGAACTTTATTTACTACAAAGTGGAATTAAAGAACTTTATGGTTTTGCATTCTATGGAACACCAGAATTACGGCGCTTATTTCTGTCTCATAATGATTTATTTTCAGTTGAAGCAGATGCATTTGTTGGACTTCTAAAGCTTGAATATCTTGATTTAAGTAACAACCATATTGATCATCTTTCTGGCTTAACATTTCCACCACTACCACATTTACAATGGTTGGAGCTTAAGCATAATCCTATAAAAGTTATATTTCCACACTGCTTTCGGTTCCTAAATGGGACACAACATCTTACATTAGGCCACAAACAGCAACCAGTGCATCTGATGAAATTTAGTTTCCGAGGGTTATATTCATTGATCTCCCTGCACATACCTAACATAGATAATGATGCTTTGATAGAACACATGTTCTATGATTTAAGTTCATTAACTCATTTGAATTTGAAAGGCAGGATAAAAGTCATAAATAACAAAGCCTTCAATGGAGCACATAAACTTTTGAAGAAGCTTATTCTTCACAACTGCAAACTACAAAAGGTGTATGAAGATGCATTTTATGGTCTAGAAAAACTTCATTTACTTGACTTATCTTCAAATCTTTTACTTAGTTTATCAGATGGAACTTTCAAGTACTTAAAATCAATTCAACATGTGTTGCTACATAACAACAGATTTATACAAATATCAGAAGAATTGTTCCTCACTCTGCCTACACTTAAAGTTACCACTTTGTATAATAATCCATGGAACTGTACATGCAAGATGAAGAACTGGAAAGAGGAAATTGCAATGCATAAATATATCGAATTTGAAAAAATATGCAACCAAACGAATGACTGTTCAGATAATTATTTCTCTGAATCTAATGTAGATTTGACACCCAGGTGTGAATATCCTCAGCACTACAAAGCTGAAAATGTTTTTAAAATACTTAAACTACTGGCATGTGATTAATTCACATAAAACATCAAGATCAAGGTAATATGTTTTGTTTGGATTTGAAAAAAAAAAAAAAAGAAAGAAAGAAAGAAAGAATTCTTCAAGGTAAGTTAACACATGGGGGGAAAAAGAAATACGCAGTTTTCACTTTATGAAGAAGACATATGAGTTGATCACATCTGCAACTTAACAACATAAATTTTCCTTTAAAGAAAAATTAATGATATTTCTGCACTTTTAAAAATAAACTTCCTGTAATTATAGAAAATTTTGCATGTTTAAACTATTGTACATAACATTTCATAATTCATTAAAAGCAATTTTCATTTATGACTGTAAGTTTTCATGTACCTTTATATAAATGCTGTATATTCTACCCAATCTGCATTATCTGAATTCAACAGAACATGAAATGAAATTAGATTTTATCATTTGTTATATATTTGGTCTATTAAATAATAACTAATTATTTAACATATATGATGAATGTTCTCATATTTTAAAAAAGAGGTGTAGAAATGATTTACTGAATAATGTAATTAATTCATATACTTAGGGCTATGTTTCAAAATTTAAAACTTAACACATACTTTCAATTTATAAATCGAAACTCTAGAAACATTTTGTTAATCATAAGAGAAATTGAAATAAAATGTTGAGTATGTGTAATGGTAGAGTGCTATCAGTTGGTATTTGTGTATCAACTAGTTTGATACATCAAATGTGGCTTGCATATTCTTTTCAGTACTGCCGTACAATTCATTTACTTATGTCATTTATTTGCTTATAGAGTTTTGCAAACTAAGGCTTGCTTCAAATGAATAACAATGAAATGGTTGATTGGAATCATTATCTCTGGTTTTCTATCCTCTTTTGCAGATTTACTCATTTTAAGTTAAAAATGAGATTCAGCTTTCTTAAATTTAGGTACATAAGATTTTTTTTTTTCCTATACACTCACACTTGACTTGAATTTTGTATATATTTATGAATCACAGAATTTAAAATTTGACAAATTTAACACAAATTTTAACAAGAGGCAATTTTTTTTTTTTTTTTTTTTTTTTTGTCACAGTTTATTTTTATTTCATTTTTAATGTCTTCTGTTTGAAAAATGACATTGTAATATATCACCAACACTTTAGACAAAATATTTCAGAAAAATAACAAAGGAGAAAAATAAAACGTTGCTACTATGGCTATAATATTTCCACATTATGAGTATTAGGAAATCATTTCTATAAGAGAGAAAGTCTTCACTGCAGGTATTAGCTCATACAGTAAGAGAGGGAAAGTGACTTAAATAGAGAACAGGTGCTTAATTGTTACCATATCATGCATACTGCAACAAAGTGTGTTCAAATTATGGTGTGGATCAAATTATTTCCAAAATAATAGTAAGCATTCATCTGCAATCTTCAATTTTTTCCCTAACTACATTCAAGAAACTGAGCATCAAATGCAGTCAGTATGTACATATAAAACTAAAAAAAAATTAAGTGGAAGGCTGCAAAAATGTCATTCTAATGTTTGTTTCTTTATACACTCACTACCTTTTCGATATGCTGATAATTTAAGTGCTTGGTAGGATGCCATCTATGTCAAGCTACCTATAGTTAGATAGTATTTTCCACTTTATGTCCACTAATTTCATTTCACTTAATAAAAAATAATAGTTATCTTTTGAACACTAACTAGTTGTCATCCAACAATCATATATAATAATACCTGGAGTTAATATTGTAATACAGCTACTGAAATTGTATACAAGAAATCCTTTTCGGTTCTAGAAATTATGTAATACAAACAGCCAGCTTAGCTCTGATTATCTATACTTCTGGTTGAAGCACTGTATTGTAGATAGTAATTACAGTATAATCACCACAACATAATTGTAAAGTTTCCCCCTTATACATTTCTGCAATGCCTTTAATTATTAGATCTTCCCTTCACAATGTTTTGCATAAAGATAATTCAAAATTGTAAAATTTTGAACTATTTTTTAATAACATTTTGAAATTGTAAGGCTTTTATCACTGCTTCATTCACAGAAATCTGATGTTTCTAGCTGTAAAATTGTTATTGTCATTACATTAACTATTTGCCTGTCACGGGAAATTGAACAATTTATTTTAGAAATTATAAGACAAATAAAGTTGCTGAGTTTTATTCATCTCTTTTAAAGGAAGGTAACTTATAATAGCAAAGCACTGGAGAGCCATTTACAAAGGATAAGATGCTTTCTTCATAGGTATTCTAAGGTAAGCAAATTTTATTTCACAAACATTTCAGCAACTAGGCTATAACACTGACAGAAAATAAAGTTTGGACACAATAACTGCTCATCACCGAATCAACATAGCTACTGGAAATCTTGATCTGTTCAGGAAGGAGTGATGTGATTAATGCAATTTTTAAAATGCCACAGATTTTACACTTTGATCTGGTTAAAACTTTGTGCTTTTCCTGCAGTAGAGGACTTTATATCAGTCGATTAGATGTGGAACTTTCTACAGCAAAGATAGAATTCACCCAACTCTAATATCTTCTGAATGCAATACTAACATAGCAAACAAAAATGTTAGCAAGAAATACTTTATAGAGTTCTTTAAATCAACTTTCCATATTTAAAACAATTTTTGGAGGAAAGAGGATATGAGAAATATAAAGATTAATATTTAAAAAGGGATTAATATTTAAAAAAACAAACTAAATTGTCAATGTGAGAGACCAAAACATTTGGATTCAAAAGTTGCTTAATTTCAAATTCTAACTATTCTTTTGAAAAATATTTTTTGAAAATATCAACAGATAAATAATATAACTTACTCAGCAAGCACAAACAAAAAATGCATGGCATTTTCTTTATACTCTGAATTAGTAATTCATCATGAAATTTCACAGGCCATGCAGTTGAGAAAGATTTGAAGCTTCACAAATTTACATGAATATTCTGCATAGTGAAGAAGGAAAACTGTTTTAAAACAAATTTTGGCATTTGAATGAATAATTAAAAATTTTCTGGCAGGATTTTCAACTGCTCTTGCAAAGCAACTACTCTTACTTTTCAACTGCTCTCTCTCACTTGGCAACTCAACTTAATCTATGGATTATTTATTATCTTACCTCTTAAAAGAGTAGCAGCAGTTCCTTTATAAATGCTCCTAATACCACCTTCTTTATATAATTTTTTAACGCAGTCAATTGGTCCAGCATATTTAGCTTCTCCACTTGTGACTGTAGCTTGTTGAACCTACAATTTAAAAAACAAATAAATAAATAAAAATTAACAAAAATTACACTTATGGTTGATTGGTTGGTTGACTGGCTGTAAATTTTATGGTGCATAAACTTAAAATGTATTATATATATGATGCACCAGACGTATCATGATATCATCATTTAAGATACAAACAGACATATGATATAAAAGCTATTTAAAAATATTCTCATCATAATATTATAGTGGATTAATTAACAAATGAAAGCAACATGAACAGTAATTGGTACTATAAAACCAATTCAAATCAAAGTACACTACACACACATTAAAATATTTAAAATATTTTCTAAATTCAAATTAGATTATAAAATCCAGTTTCTTCTAAATATAGAAATAAACCACTGTTCTTTTTTCTGATTAATTGGTAAAAAGGGTAAGTCACAGCTATTAAAATACTTCAAGTGAACTCTTTTAAAATATGAGCAATCTATTAAAATATATCCAATGAAAAACAGTACTGCATTTTGAACAAATGAGATTCAATTTCAGTTTTTAAAAAATTTACGTGTCTTGAAATGGATTAATTATAAAACAAGTTCAAATAAACTCCTCCGTCTGGTTTCTAGGTGCCTCCCAACCTTCTTGGTTCCACAAGAAATTTTGCATCTTTAAGCTTGTTACTAACCTGAACATCTCATAAGAGTTGCCACTTATTCAGGATTTTTTCCTTAATGACCTTGCAAATATCTCTAATAGGAATAAGTAAAATACACAAATCTCCAATGAATTTTGCTGTGGTGTCAGCTGCTGCCAGCTTATTACCTTTTATATCCCTATATGTTCAGAAACCCAAAAGTAACGAGTTTGACATCCAAATCTCCTTAAATTTAAATTTAACTTCAACTACAGAATTTTGGGTGTTAGAAAATATTTCGAAAGCTTTTAGTGCACTATAGAAATGAGTATACATTATATAGGCATAGGTTAGGCATGGTTAGCTTTTTTGGGGGCATAGGTTAGGTATGTATGAAAGGGCATAATGTGCAGCAATTACTTCTGTAAATCTCATGCAAATACCTATCCTCCATATATGGCTTCTAATCACAAGAATGCACCACCTTGACAGAGTGTTTTTGAACTATATATGTGTATAAGAATGTAACTCTACAGAAAAGCAATGGACAGCCATGTACAAAATGCACAAAGGATAAGATGCTTTCTTCATGGGTTTTCTAACATAAACAAATCTTATTTCACAAACATTTAGACAATTAGCCCATAATACTGACAGATGATTTTGTTAGTACTTTTATCAAATGGGAAGAAAATATAAAAAAAGCTGGATTTGTGCATTATCCTAAGGAGGATTTCAAAGTGCTTTATTACTTAGGTATTCACAACAGATAAGCTATACTTTTTAATTAGTAACCAAACTCATGAAAGGAAGCAGACATGAAAAATAACCATGCTTCCAGGCTACCGTGCTATATCCAGGCTCTGTTACATGCCTTCTCCATATCAAAAAATTCTGAAACCAAGTGGTTTCATTTATGAGAGCTTCACAGATGTATCTGAATAAAGCATGTTGTCTGAGATTGGTATACCCTTATGGAAACTACTTCCACAGACAGAGATAATACTTATTTTCTCCATGTAATAAACAAGGCAGCAACTTACTATTTTTGCAAGCCATTTGTAAATGTAACTCGTTAATGCAACTGGCCAATAATTTGAGGGATTTCTTGGGCCCTTACCTGGCTTAGCTCTGAGATAATTGATAGCCCTCTTCAAAGCTGGGAAATGTGTTTTCTTTCTAATTCCACTGAATAGAATCAGGACATTAATGACTTACAGAAAAAATACCTTAACGTAACTAATTGTACAAGGGGTTTTCAACAAGGCTCTTTTTAACTTAAGCATGGTAAAATCACCATTTATAAGACAATGAGATGGAAAAGTTAAACACAGAAGGAAGTTTCTTGACAGGAAGTAACTTGTGTTACTTCTATAGGAATATAGAATATATTTCTTCTTCTATACTTGCTTCTATTCTTCTTCTATAATTGCTATAATCTATATATTTCTTCTTCTATACTTGCTATAAGAAGTAACTTGTGTTACTTCCTATAGCCTGACAGGAAGTAACACAAGCGGATAACTACTGATGTCAGATGTGACAGCAAAACTCTCACCTACTGCAGTTTCTTCTGCGTTGCTTATCACTAAGCCATCTTTCTCAAAAATGGAAATTGAATGGTTATTATAAGCATTCCAGTTATTTTCCTTACTTTCTCATACTTAATTTAGAAGGTAAACAACAAAACATACAACAGATTTCAACTATTATACAGTACAAAGTCTTTAATCCGGATGTCCATAATCCTGAATGATCTATAATTCGGACCTCAAAGCTACAAACTTTCTGCACATGTATAGCATTTACACATGCGCATAATACCTTTATGCATGTGCATATGCATTTACGCATGCACATAATACCTTTACGCATGCACATAATACATTTAGGCATGCATGTTTAATGTATAACAAATGTTGAATCAGAGGAAAACATGGCCAAGTCCTAGAAGGTTCTCAGACCTTCCTTTCAAGGTTTAATCCATGCCTCCGGAACCGTACTGAGAGGGCGCCACTCCTCCCGGTTGCTGGAGAGGGAAAACTTCCCTCATAATTTAGGATTCATCTAGGCAGAGACCGATGGCGACCATCACGAAGAGATCCACAGGGCTGATCTCCACCCAGACTACTCAATAACTAGTTCAATTCCCACGAGAGGGGTCACCCCTCCCTCCCACACTACTTTTCTATGGACCTTTGATAAAGAACGAGATCATACATCCCTCCACACTGACCGAGAGGAGCCAATCCCCCTCAGATGGCCATCACATCAACTATGTAACGTCCCCACCACTAAAGACACGGACAAGTGAATATCAGTACAGTCCCTGCCAAGCCTGAACCTACCACCGAATAAACGATGGCTCTAGTCAAATGTGAAGACTGATTACTTGCTCTGCAGGCCAAAATTGTCTAGACACAAGTCTAGCCAGTGGTCTGGAAGAACCCCAGGTCTCCTCCCATAAATGGTCGTTTCCAGTAATTCCACCCAGTCGAACCATAGAGTTAGTTGTCCAGCATCTGTTAGCCTATGCCAGCCAGCCTATATCTAGCCTTTGCCAGCATAGTTTCCAGCGGGTGCCACGAGGAGGCCGATGCTGAACTGAGGGAGACAAGAACAGGAAGACCTGTCTCCATCCTTCAACACCTGCCCTTTGACCAAACGCTGGGTCTCCTGCCTTTCCCCACTGCTTACGATGGTCTCCCGCGCACTGTTCTCGCCGCTCACAGTGGGTTCCAGACATTTGTCCTCCAGGAAAAGTGCCGGCAGTTCTTTCCTAATATCAGACACCAGGTCTCCTGCCGCTAGCGGTCGGTTCTGGATATCTGTCCTCGGGTCTGAACAGGATGGTATAAGCTAGGCTAAAATTATCTAATTAGCTATTTCAGTTAATGTTGCAGATTGCGTTGTTCCTTAATCTTCTTATTGGATCCGGCTTATTTTTTGCAGACTGTTAAAGCAATTTTATAAAAAGTAAGCTTGAACTTTGGATTATGTCAAAAAGAGTATCTGATTCTGGAGCTGCCAAAGGATCTACAAAGAGAAAGCATGTTTCGATGTCCATCAAACAAAAAGTAGAATTGCTGCAAAAAATGAATAAAGGCATGAAGAAAGTGACAGAGAGGTTAGTGAAAACGAAAAAATTTCAATTGACAAGTTAGTTGGTATTCTCAGCACAGCAATTACAGGACTTGAACTGCGGAACTTTGAACAAGAAATTATGTCTTTATAGAATTAAAGAGAAAGTATTAGCACATTTTGGGGTCTGATTAATGGCTAGACACTCAATTTAGAAAAATAAGTTCTTTAATTAATCAAAATACGTACATGGCAATAAATCACAGGAATTTCAGCAATGAGTAAAATGCGTACATGAACTTGTAAAAACAGAAGGCGAAAGTTCTCTTTTGCAGTCGCGCAGAGATGATATTCTTATTGCGCATGCGCGAAGAGGAGAACTTGAAGCGCCAAAGAAATGTGATGGGGAACCACAACATAAAACGAAGCAACTTAAACAACTTACATGGAAAGAAATGTTTAATAAAGTAAACAAATAAATATTAAGTTGTTTTTTTTTTTTTTTTTTTTTTTTTTTTTTTTTTTTGCGACTTTTGATACTCTTTAGATCAGTGGTTCTTAACCTTTTTGAGCCGCTACCCAAATTTGAGAAAAATGTTTATGTCGCGACCCAAAAAAAGTCAATATTTTTTCATTGCTTTATTTTAGAGCATATTTGTAAAAACCTTTAATCTTACAATGATGACTTATTTAACTTACAAATTTTTTATTTTTTTTATAATAATAAAGTTAAACAAAAGTACTTTTGATCCAAGAAAAATTTAATAAATAATCAAGTGTTTTTAATATTTTTATTGACCAAACTAAATAAATTTAAACTTTTTAAAAATAATTGAAATTTAATCTTATAATAACATTTTATACGCTTTTAATGAGAACCTTGTGCTTGAATACATTTTGAAAGATCTGCAAACCTGGGTTGAATGCTTGTCAAGGAACACCTTAAATCTATTTCTGGATTTAACTTGTTCTGGTGGTTGTTTTTGATTACACAGAGAGCCGAAAAACCAGCCTCACACATATATGTTGTTGAAAAGGGCAATAATACTTTTAGGGCTTCTTTAACAATTATTGGCTTTTCGGTTTTTAGATTTAACCAGAAAGCACATAAAGATTGAGTGTTTTTGTAAAAATTGTATCAAAGTGCTTGGTCACTTTGAATTTCTATTAATTGTTCTTGAAATTGATTAATATTAACAAATTCCTCATGCAAATCACTTACGTCAAAATCAAATGGCATTCGAACCCAATTATATTTAAAAACATCGTCTGCCGGAAAATACCGATCAAAGTCTGCTATTAGTTTTTCTAAATG